TTATCGATATTTTTACTGATAATATGACGAGGACGCCGATGGTGAGCCTCGGGAATATTAAGTCATAATTGTGTAATTATTTTTAAGGTTAGGCCGGGCCAAATATTGCATTAATGTAGGTTGCTCGGCGCCGTGTCTTTGTGTCGAGGCAGTCCTGTCTGCCCTATGTATTATAATTGTATGATGAATGAACATCTCAGTGGCTGAATGAAATATTAATGTTTATCGACAGTGTTAGAAAATTGTTATAAATTATTTTGATGACTGTTCGAAGGATAATAAAGAGTTGGATGTCAATGTTTGTTGTTTATTTTGTAATTTAACCTGACCTTAGAATTAATAAGTGACTGTATTTCACTTCAAATAAACACTGGAGTATTATTAGACTAAGGACCTACACAAAACAATTATTTTACTTAAATTATGATATTGATGAGTTACTATTAATTCTTACTCTGAAGCTACTTGAACTATCAATAAAAACATGTAAATATTTCAACGAATGAACATTTCTAATAATTATTATTATTTTCACATTTTGGTCTCTGAAGTAGCTTCATAATCTTCAAATATCATTTTTAACTGAATCACCAAACGCAGCCCTAGACACGGTGCTTCCATTTTCATCCAAAGACTCCATATCACGGGAGAAGATTCTTCGTCTTTTCTGGTCTTTTTCGAATATTTCCCGAACTTCTCTATCCAAATCTAACGAGCTGGACCTTCTAGAATCAAACCTATCAACATTGAAAGTATTATGGACATCGATACTACTTTCAGTAACATGTATTACTTGACCTTCTAAGGTATCCACAGAGACTGAAGAAGACGGTCTATCCTCAAAATGCAGTCTACTCTCAGTGTCTTCTATAATCCTTATTTCACTATCAATATCAGTTTTAGGAGTTATTATTAAATTTTCTCTAGAATTTGCACTGATTGGCGTTTCTGATTTTTTCTGGAACCTACATCGCCTTGTGAAGCCTCCCATCCATTCTGAGACTAATGCTGTGGCTGCTATTGTGAAACCTGCTGCTAGAAGAAGGAACATGCCTTGTGTGTCTTCTAGAGAAAGACCTTTTTCTTCTGCTGATGGGATATTTATTGTACCGCTACCAGCCTGTAATATAAACAAATGTAGTCAGTGTCTATTGATGGTGCTAAATTATCTTTCCCCTTCATTATAAATGATTTGCTCAATTTTATGGCACAATATTGATAGAGATAACATTACATACATGCAAAATGTAGCCTAATTTGAACCTCAAAACGATCTATAAATACATTTATGTAACCGTTAAGTTGGAATAATTGTTCGCTAAAATAAGTGCCTGACCAAAATATCTTTAACATGCATATCTATGAGTTGCTCTACACAAAATTAGTTTACACTCACAGCCAGTAAAGTCCCAGTGGGACTCCGTTGCATTTCAAAGCGAACTTCATTAGCAATTTTATCAATTAAACCACTTTGAATCATCTTGCTGATATCTAAATTCATTTTAGCAGAGTACACAGAATTGTTTGGAAATCCAATAGTTATGCCGAAAGGTACGAAGCATTTATTGGAAATGTGAAGGACTGCGCGCTTTGATCTGTAATACAAATACATAATATTACGCTTTTTATCCCCGAAAGGATAGGCAGAGGTGCACATTACAGCACTTAATGCCACTGTACCATATAACACCAACTTTTAACTATTTTTTATGTTATGAGTCCCATGTAATACGAGGTGAGCCTATTGCCATATAACGGGCACAATTGCAGATTTCGTGCTCCGTGAGATTTTTTTTTTTAAACCCAGGCATACTTTGGCAGATTGCACGACCCGGAAATCCACCCGAGACCCCTTTTCGGCAGTAAGGCTATAAATAAATATGTATAAAATAGGACCAAATTGAGACTGAACAAAATTGTTTAAAATAAACCATAGTATTAACTTAAGTGATATAAACTCAACAACAAATGACCATGCAATTAGAATTGTCTAAATGAGGTTGTGGATGCTAAAACTTACTTAGTCGCTGTAAAATTTGCTTGTACAATATACTCAAGCTCAGCCTTGGATCCTAAAAAAGCATGAGGCCAGAAGAATGCCTTGGTTGTATTTCTGATACCTGCTTCCACGTTCGGTACCAATTCAAGTTTTCTCAACAACTTATTAGTTTGAGGATCAGATGAATTTAGAAACCATTTCTCCCATCCACCTCGATCTGCATAAGTAGAAACAGAAGCCTAAATATCAGATGATCATACTATGGACAAAGTATTAAGTAAGGATAATTTAAAAACTTTACCCAACGTGCCAACTCTATAAAATCCAGCTAACAACTGCTTGATGGTATCCACAGTTTCAGGAAATACTGGTAATGTTACAAACGCTATAATAGAACCAGTATAACAACTTGTTATTATTATTGTGAAAATCCAGTACCACCCTGATGAAGACAATTCATAAATAAATATTTCCATTCTGCTTACAAGAAACGCTATAGTTAATAAAACTCTACTTACCAATCAATAGCCTTGTTGTAATCTTATTAGTCTTGCTCCAAGAATTCTTACCAAGAAACGTGAAACAATTTGTAAATGTACCAAAAACGTACCAGAACATGTTTTCTATTTCTCCACTATTGTGTATCAAATGTCTTAAAGTATGCTTGTCAGAGAAAGCCAGTGGAAACATACCGAAGAGATAGGTAAACGTTAATGCAACCCAGACATGCCAATGGAAAGGACCGAGGATTGCTCGATAGCTGAGAAATGGTAGAAAACAATTAATTTAATAAAGACTTAGATGCCTTGTCCAATTTTCGTGAAAATATAAACTAAAATTCATTGCTAATCGTATACAAATTATAGCATTTTGAATAAAAACTAAATAAATGATGATGCAAAAATTCAGGTGAAAGAAGTTACGTAGTTACCGTGGTAAAGCTGTTGACATTAGAGTAACAAAAACAGCACAATCGTGAGAATGCGGCAAAGACATATCCATTTCTCTTATTCGATCATTGGTTAAGTACATCCCAGCGATTGCAATATCTGCTCGTCCCGTGATTATTTCTTTAGCTACAGCATCACCAGGCCTTATAAAAACCAAGAAAATATCATTAACTACCTAACTTTACTTCTTATTCGTATTATTCTCCTTTACGTCATAATTTATTTACCCTAAATTAGGCTCTCTAGGTTCAACGATTTCTATAGAAAAGTTGTTCCTTTCTGCCAATAATTTGATCAGTCGTAGTTCAATGCCATCCCAAACCACTCGAGGATTTCCACCGTCTAAATCTGATTTGATCCTAAAAAGGAATAAATGGTTAATAGAGAAAAAAAAATATGTTTGACTTTTTTCTACTGCCTTTGTTTCTTTATCTTACCTCCGGAACACAAATGGAGGTTGGTTGGCAGCTGCAACCACAAATCTGTGACCAGCGTAACCTTCCGTCATCTTGAGAGGAAATAAATTCACTTCTCTTGAAAATTTTCCATGAGTCCAAGAATTCAGAACAAGTGGCTGACTGGCACCTAAACCATCTGTATACAATTTATGAGTATACAGAATGTAAGGTGATTCCTAAACAATAAAATAGTTAACAAATTTTTTATTTCTTTTACTTATTCACGCTCAGATATCAAACTTCATTTAAATAGATTTACTGTACTAACCAATTTAGCATCGTCGCCTTCCTTAAAACTCTGCCCCACTACAAGAAGATTAACAAAATTTCTCGATGTGACACTTGCGAGAAACTCTTGCACGGCCCATTGAGAAGATCTTGCAATAATAATAATTTTGTTTTCCGGTTGTTTTCCCAATATTTTAGCACTGATCTTTATATCTGAGAGGAATAGAATGAAATTTTGGCATTCTATCGTTGCATGAATCAGTTCTGGTTCTACTAATTCTCCGTCATCGTTGATATAACCATGAATGAAAGTCGTCGGGAACCCTTTTAGGAGATTTTGCACCAAATAACTTTCCTTGGACATGACTTGATTGTCATAAAGAATTACCGGCGTACAGTCCTTTAGATAAGTCAGTGTTATATTATGCAGTAATTTCACAAGCGATGGTGTTTGGTCAAACGATGTAGTCTCGTTAAGAAACCGTTCATTCCACAATTCTTCTCTAGTCTTTGGATGACCGTAAAAGACGGGATCTAAAGCTCTTTTATGAATGTCACCATCATCAGTATCGTTATTAAAATGCCTCCAATAACTGTCGCTTCCATTTGTGTTTAGATTAGGATCATCAGTACTATTTACTTCTCTTTTTTTGACGACTTTGTTATTCATATCTAAGACAGATTGAGAAGGATAGTATTCGATAATTACTTCTGCACCAAAAACCACATGATAAGCAAGAAAGACTAGATAGAACCATGGTACTGCCATATTATCTGAGGTCTGTTTGACTAGTTTGTTCAAATGCGAAGTTTTTTATAGCCTTTCATTGACCTTGGTCTACGAAAAGATCACAGCACAGGTGTTATGATTGAAATTTAATTTTTGATGCCCACTGCGGATTCTTTATGGTCACGGACGGAGCCTTGACTTTTAGATATTGCTTTAACTTATTACTTCTTTCTTCGTATGTTCATTTTATATGAAGGACATAGGTAACTGTAAATATTTTGTTCTTTAGTTGGCATTAGCAGAAGATAAGTGAGATAAGTGTATCATTTTAAGCTACCATTTTATTTTAAGAGGAAATTATGTATGTAGACATAATATCGGGCAGAATTATTTTTGTGATAGGAATATTTAACTCACAAGATATGATGGGAATATCATGCATTTTTATAAATAAATTATTATTTAATCTAAGATCATACATAGATACATAACCGCATGTCTTCCAATGAGGTAGGCAGAGACTATTGAAAGCCGATTTCTAATATTCTTACATACTTCTTTTGCTTCATCAACAGTCTATTATTATATAGTAGTCTTTATTCTAAGGTCAAGTACACATAAATAATACACAGACATATTTTATAGCATTTTATTACCAGCACTGGTCACATAATTGTTACAGTTCTTGTACAATATAAATAAATGTCGCCGATACAAAATACGAAATCAACTTGTCCTAAACTTTTGCACTATAGGACCTCAGTGCAGAGTCATGTCCGAGATACATTTCCTAGCCGAAACGATAATAAAAAAGTGAAACTACCAATTTTAAATACTAATCCTATATTTACAGTAGGGCTTATTAAATAATTGAATAATGTTTAAATAAGATTCGTAGCAAGCGCTTCCAATGACTTCAGTTGCAATAGCAGACCAAAGCTTAAAATCTAATAGAGAAAAATACGAATTAACCGTTGGAATCATAGCTCAGAAATGTAGGTAGAAAAGCTAGAAGATGAAGCTAGAGTAAAAAATGATAAGCGTATGACTCGAACGGGAATTCTCCTATCAAATAATCATGTAGTTATTAAGAGTCCTCGAAATATAAACATTAAACAGTTGTATAGACATGTGCCACATCACAGAGGGACACAATGCGATGTGGTCAGACGTCTACACAATGCTACATACCAACCAAAATTCCAAAAACATTTTGTAAATTAGAAATTCATTTTAAAATCGTAAAAAGTTACTTTTCAAGAGGACCTTATATTATGCGTCAATATAAAACTAAATTACTCACTAGCTAATCCTATATTTACAAATTACAAGAAGGCAGTGTCAACCACGAAGCTGGCAAGATTAGAAAAAAAAAACATATTTTCTAAATTTTAATATGGCTTTCATTTAAAATTATTCGGAAAATGGTAATCATTTGTTGACGAGTTTAGTAGTTATTTGATAAATAGTGGAGACTGTAACTTTACTATCACGGTATGACATAAAAAGTCTTACAAAACATAATTCTGAATTAATTTAGAGAGTATCCATTACATACTAAAAACGAACACAAAATAGGAAATATTATTGCAAAACACATTGCACGAGTATTGCTATAAGTAGACCATGCAATTAAAACTAACAAAATCGACGCTATCTTCACACTAGACGATTGAAAACACTTAATATCACAGTTTCCAATACATTTAGGACGTATTTTAGAGAATCGTAACGTATAGTTCGTTACTTTGAAATTGTCAATATTTGCTTTGTGACCATCGACATCTAAATGGCACTCTTCAATTGGTGACAAAACAATTTCTACTGTGAGTTACACATTCGATACCTCTCTTGCCTCGTTGGCTTTGATACATCTCATGTATCAACAATCAACATGTATTGTAATATCGAAAGTGGTTGTATTATTATGCTATAGTAACTATTTTGCTTATTCTCCGATGTCGTTGTCTATGCGTGAAGATCTGATGCCCGATTTGCCGGTCCATGGGTATACTTCGGGGCAAGGTTGACACGTCCTCATGTATCTGACTCCGGATTTGTGCCAGAGGTTGCATACTTTAGGGTTGTTGCATTTTTTCGGCCGGTCCTGGAAAGAAAATTGCATATTTTTTACTTCTATTCAAGTATCACCGATCAGAGGCAAAACTAAGGATAGATATCAAATCAAAGTTCTGATTTCGCCATAGAAGCTATATTGTAATAAAATCTTTACGTAATGCAACTTGTCTGACATAAAAAAAATACAAACCTGGTAGTTGCACTGGAACGGCTGGAAGTTGTTGAGTCTGCTGATGGGCGTGGGGTCTCTCACCCACTGCAGCGCTTGCCAGTTGGTGACGATCCACACATCTTGCATTTGATTGATAAAGTCCAGGAACATGATGAAGCCCTCCTTGTGGTGGGGCTGTGTGAACCACGCTGCGTGGTAGTAGAGACCAAAAGGTGCCCTGGAATCATTTTAACGTTTGGTTAGAAATTCGACATTCACAATTTTGTTTTGTGAGAAATCATGTTTCTTAGTTGTTTAATTAAAATAGAGACAGATCATTATATTTCATATATTTAACACATCACATTGATAGGTAACTTTACGTTATCTTTCTACCTTAATTGTTTTAACACTGTGGGTTTCCTTATATCATTCCAGGTACAATATTTGGAACTCACCTATTGGTAGTATAATGTCTGTCAAAGTTCTTCAAGATCATCTTGTAAACGTTCTCGGCTTCGGGAGGATTGGCACAAGCATCACCCATAGAACAACGGCCTCCGTTCAGGTCCTGCCACATCACCATAGGAACCTCCCATACACCTGGAATCAATGCAATCATAACGTCAGCATGACATAGAAGTAAGGCCTTTAGTAAAGAAAACATCTACTAGTTCTTGTTAAACAAAGAAGATGATGTCTTATACCTTAATTTAAAATGTATATTAGCTTGGTCTAATATTTACCTGGATAAGATTTCGTGGGGCATGGCGGGATCATACAGTCGTGGAACAATTTGTAGTCAAGAGTGTAAGGCCAGCTTGGTGGCCTGTTCTCGTAAACAGGCAGTGATGAATCATAAGTGAAGTTAGCATCATACAACATTTTGAACATCTTGTTGCCACCGACGGAAAGGAAGGGCGCTCTCATGCCTCTAACATCTTCAAGCTTGACACCTCCGTACGCTGCCAAAATTTCTCTCTGGCCACCCACTTCCCTGAACCATTTCTTTTGGGAGAATTGTTCTCCAAAGCTATGTCTAAAATATAAAATTGTATTAGTAGTCAAGTCACGGTGAATTAAGGAAACAAAAGTGAAACTTTTCGGGAAGTAAAGAATAGTCTTAAAGCATTTGAACAAATTAAAGAAAAAAAATATAAAGGAAAAATAAATGAGAACTTAACAAATCAAAAGATAAACAGCAGAAATGAAAGTGCCAGAAAATTCAAAAGTGTTCAGAAACAGAAATCATATAAAATTGAGTATTCCTTGTAGCTGTTGTGGGTGCATAAACTGTTGGGGTGTGGTGCAATAACTGTTCGGTAGTCGGTGAACTTACGAAATTGTGTGTGATGCCATCTCGTGTCCGGCTGAGTACAGGTTCTGTACTTGACTGTAATCGGTCCATTCATGGGACACGTAAAACGTTGCGGATATCGGACAACCATTGGGGTTGACGCGACCCTTCTCAAACAGGTCGGCGTACAGACCCTTGTTCAGATCGTTTACAGAGTCGTCGAAGGTCAGAAGAACAATCTGAGGCACCTGTTCCACCGGCAAGTCGCCTGTTGACGCGGGATGTAATGTGCGTGTGGGTGTGTGAGTTGTGCCAGGAAGAGGAAAAAAGAGTAACAAGGTTTCAAGAAGGATGGAAGAATTGAGGAAGAGAAAAAAATAAAAACCATTAGTGTCACATATTATATGATAAGATAGTTTTATAAATACATACAATATACTTATATAGATGGCCATGAATACCCTGTTAGTGGCAAATCTGAGCCTACCAAAGATGCCGATAGGTTCAAGGATAATTTTTTGCTCATAAACTTACGAAACTGTATGAGAGCCAAATTCGTGGCCATCTGCATAAAGATTCTGCACTTGACTATAGTCAGTCCACTCGTGGGAGACGTAGAAAGTGCCGGTTATCGGGCAGCCATTCGGATTTTTCCGCCCCCTTTCAAAAATTTCTTCGTAGTACATTTTATTCAAATCGTTCACAGCATCGTCGAATGTTATCAAAACTATTTGTGGGACTTCGTGGACAGGTAAGTTTCCTAAGTCACAAATACTCTTTATAATAACCATTAATTTGTGTAAGAGTTAAAATTTCAAATAAAGCTTTTAGTAACAGTATTACTCCATAATATTGAAAATTAACATACACAATAGTTCTTATGACATGTAAGACTTTTAGATTAATCTGAGTTTAGAATATCATAAGATATTTATTAATATAGCGACTAGGAACTCAGTCTCAGCTGAGCTAGTAGATAAAAACAGGCTCGGTTGCATAAGACTAATAACATCACTGGTGAAAAATTGCTATACGACATTAAACTCTTAAAGCATGTTATTTTCTTTTCGTAAAATAGTTTCTTGACGTACCAGGTATTTCCTTGCCACCGCAGTAACAGTCCGGCAAAAGGCAGACATCCTTCCTACACTTCGCTGCTGTCTTGTCAGGAGTGGGCTGCGGGTAGACTGGGTCAGGTCGGCTCGGAGGGTGAGCATAGATATCAACAAACTCCGTGCTCTTGGAGACAATAGCCGTTGATGGTTTCAAGGTCGGTCGGCTGCGGCTGCTCAAGAGAAATATGTTTTAGATTATTTGAAGTTAAGTGCTTATAAATGTGCGTATAAGTATGATATGAAGTGCATGGATGGAGCATGGTGCAGAATTTATTTTAACCTTGTAAAAAGATTCTTTATCTGTATTTATTTTTAATTATGATTTGGATAGCTTAAGTTTGGAGAAAAAAAATTGTCAAATCTTATAAAGATTTAGTAGCAAACAATTTGGTAAGAGTTAAAAAGAAATGAAAATGAAATGATGATTGAGTTTGTGTTCAGTTCTAACGTTGGTGGGGTTCCTCGGTTCGGGGCTGGCTGAGGCGACTGCGCGTCGCTCGCGGTGGAGTAGTGAGCTGAACCGCGGCCTCGGGTGCTGGTCGGTCTGCAAAATGCACATTAACAAATTAAAACTAAATTCACTAATCTATCCCGTAGTTAGTATGCGTGAATTTAAAGACGAAGCATTTTCAAAATCTTTTTAAAAATTTTGACTGTTTTATTTAATTAATCAGAGATGTATTTAATTTAAGTAATGAATGATTGAAACTTTAATGTTCAGACGTGGCTCTACGATAATCAGTTTTATGATACCACAAATATGTTAATAACAGTGTTACACAACATGCACTAGCGTACCAAACACGAACACATTTCGATACACTTATGATACAGGTGCACTTAGTTCTAATGATGAGTTTGCAATGTGGTGCAATACGATTACGTGAAGCTACATTGAGGAACTTGCTACCAAAATAGCTAATTTTCATAACTACAAACATTCCACAAACTACACAAAATACCAATAGTGTGCAGGAAATGGAAAGGTCGCGTCAGGAGTTAACAATTCAGATATTCAACTCAACCGACATGAAGTCCCCCAATGAGAACAGTATGTTAAGCGAAAGAGTTTAGATGTTGGTGCTATTAAACGATTGTCGGATAAGATGTTTGACTTCATGCTAGTTACTCGCGAGGCGGAAAATAAGGATGTTTTTATTAAACGAAGCCTCCACCCTCAATAAGTAATGTGAGATAACTTCAGGCTGCTTAGACTACTGGCCGGCGAGTTTGTACCTCTGGTATTTGATTTCGTTGCATTTTGGATTCGCTTGCAGACTGTTGTCTGATGAGCATTTGGACGACGATTGGTAACTCCTGCGCCCACCTCCTGGGTTTGTCGCAGCTAACTTAATGGCGGGATTGACTCGTGAGGCTCGCGGTGGAAAGGATATGCTTTTAGTCGTCGAAGTAGTCGGTTCGAACTTCAAAGTCGTTGTCGATTTCGTAGTACTTGTCGTAGATGCGATTTCGCTCTCGACATTGTTATGTCGTACTTCAGTCTCAGTCGTAGCTTTATCCTCCACAAGAGATTGAGTCGGTTTTATGACTTCATCATTAAGTTCACTATCCCGAACACTACTTTCAGTAGAGGGGGCATTGTTAATAATATTTTGGAACTTGAATGAGGCTTCATTTTCTGGTTTGCTAGTTATAAAACTACTAAATTTAGATTGGTACGAGTCCCTACTTGGTATATTTCTAAAATCACTGGTTGAGCTTTGTGTTGGCATAGGAGATGTGGGTATGTTAGCGTATGTGAACGGGCTACTACTCATAGTTGCCATAGTCGTTGTTGTTGATGAAAAATCTTTCATTTCGCGGTCTTGCTCAGTGAAACTAATAGATTCAGCACTTGGAGGGACATACCTACTAACAGGTGCCTCTGTTATTATTTGTAAACGCTTCACATTACTACGCAAAGGTTTTTCATCCACATACTTGAATGGCCTCTTCTGGAATCCTATATTGACTACCTCATCTTCATTTCTTTGTACAGGTGTAGTGGGTTTAACGGTTGTAGTGGATGTAGTTGTTGTAAAGTCTTCAACAATCTGAAGTGGTTCGGTAGAACTCACGAAATTATTCAAAAATGCTTTAATGACGGTCTTAACTTTGCCATTAAATATTTCCGTAGTTTGATCAGGGACTACTTCATCCTCTAGACGATAACTGTAATATGAGGGTTTACGTGCATGTTTTTGTTTCTTATTATTACGATTTCTGATTTGTCTACGTGTAGTAGTTGTTGCTACAGTAGTGGATGTAGTAGAGGTAGTATAATCACGTGTATCACTAGTTCTATACGAATTTCGTAAATTATCTAATGTTTTAAAGGGTGACACGGTAGGCTCATTCCAAGTATATTGAGATCTATCGTACTCCTTTGTCGGTGGTTGCTCATTAAGCGTGTTATTTAGAGGTACAGTTGATAACTCAATGGTACGAGCATTTTGCAAACCAGTCTCAATTAATGCTTCTGTGTTAATAGAATTCTCTGTGGAGTCTACAATTTCTTGATTCTTAGCAACAAACGGAGTCGGTCGAGTATTAACGGACTTAATGTAATATTTTGTCGAAGTCGTTGAGGGTGTGGTGGTAGTTCGAATTCTAGATTTTACGGCTTTTGTTCTACTCGTTGGCCTTATATAAACAGGAATATCGTATTCATCTTCACTATTGTCAGGACCGTAGTCATTCCTGCGCATTGAGCTTTCTGAAGATGACACGTATTTGCTATCAGACTCAACTATAGGCTCCTCCGATACATCTTTACTATCACTACTAATAGCTTCGGAATAACTATCAGACAGCCTTTGCCTACTATTACTGCTACTGCTACCTTCTTGACTATTAGGTTTGCGAGCTTTATCAAAATCTTCTAAAGGCCGCGTTAGAACAGTCAATGTATAAGGATTATTGGCATTATTAGGATTACGCCTGATTGAAAAACCAGATGTTAGTGACACTTTTTTATTATTCCTATTAGACTTGGATCTTACCACTTCCACATTATTACTATTGTTAGTCACTTCAGAAGAACGTCTTGATGAGGTTGGATGAGTTTCTGTCGTGGATATTGTCTCTTTTAACCTATAAACGTTGTCAGTCTTTTCAAAAGGTTTGGCAAGGGAGGAAAAGTTTATGATAGGTGCTGACGTGGTAGGAGCCGACGAACTAGTCTCGTCAGAAGGTTTTGAAGAGGATTCAGGAATTGGACTTTCATCTGTGGATGATCTGTTGAATACAAAGCAAAAAAATCTTTCTAATTGAAGCTCTAAAATAATACTACTTATATAAATATTTATTTTAAAAGGCGTACAACTGTCTCATTTGCGTAAAACATTAGTTTAGTTAGTGAAACGGAAACAAGTTACAATATTTTGTTTAGTATTCATTGCTGAGACAGATAAAGATACCACAAAAGCTACATAATTATTATGTCAATATAAAAAGAGAGAGAATAGTAAAAACTGATAAAAGACCAGAATCAGATATTGAAATGAAATTTGAAATAACCTTAAGACCGATACAAAGAGAAGACGGAAATTAGTAAAAGTTAGAAGTTTGAATCAGTTCAAAGGTTGCAAATGAAAGATGAAAAATATAAATGTGATATAGATGGTAAGTGTTGGTGAATTTTGAAAGTATGATTGAAGCTGGGATGATTTTACTTGAAGTTTTATTCTTTTGTAGTACCTTGGGGTATATCGAGACGGGGTCATTGCTTCAGTGTAAGGTGCTGTAGTAGGGCGTTGTGTGGTCGTGCTGGTGCTAGTAGTGGGAGGAGTAGTGCTTAAAGTGGTGGCTTCGTACAAAGTCGTCCTCACGCTGCTCGGGTTATGATCATATCCCAATTCATTACCTTCGCCCCTGAATCGTAGGCAATATTTCCATGTTAATTTTTTTTTGCTAATTTTGCATTTTGCGTCACTAATTCGTAAATAAAATTACATTATTCTTAAAATTAACTGATTTTGTTGGATTTGCGAAACTTACCTTGTCGAATGGCGAATTGGTGCTTGGTATTGGTTCTGGTTGTTTATCTGTAAATATATTACATAGATATGTAAAAAAATGTTTCACTGCCATTACTATACTCTGGTGGATAGTAAAGTAAACTGAAAATGATTCATAATTTAAAAATGTACTACTAACTAAAGAAAATTTATCCCCAGTGAAAAATCTTAATAAATTTCACATAATTCACATTTTTTTAAATACCTGTGGTTGAATAAGTTCATCATCGTAGTCCACCGGTGACGGCCTTGGAGTGTAGGTCTCAACAGGTCTTCTGGCAGGAGCTGGTGGTGGAGTGCCTCTGTACGTCTGCTGCACAGCTGGGCGGAGCGAGGCCGTGTTATATTGCTGAACGTAGTCTGCCAATACCAGTTAGTGTGTTACGTGCGTGAAGTTATGAGGTTATAGAAGTAATGTGCATAAATATTTGTATACTAGTATTAGAAGATGGTCTTATAGTAAAAGAGTGTTTCCAGAAACGATTCCATGACAACCAATAAATTCTAGATTGGACAATTATAAACATTTTAATAATACAAGTTGAACCCCTGATTAAATATTAATGTTTAATGTACTTCATTACACCAATCGACTTAAAATTATCAGTTAATTTACTTGTTGAAGTGTAGTAAAAGTAGTCATTTTTTTAATATTAGAGAAGGTAGTCCCACTTTAATCGTTAGTTTATTGATATCCTTAACAAATCCAAATATCCAAAGAAAATGATTGGTAATGTTTGTTACAAAAAAGTTTATAAGAACCATGACAGTACCTATTATACTTCTTTATTACAATGTACATCTATTAAATTGAAATAAGACAGCATGTATCATGCAAATATTTTCCAAAATGTTGAGTAAAGTATCTACTTCTAATCATATTTACATTTTTAAAAAGGAACAATTTGGTCAGTATCTTAAAGTTAATGTTACCTGTATCTTTATACAATTCACCGTCTTCATCGTAAACCGCGTAGAAAGGATCGTATTGGTCAGGGCTGTAGTTCTGAGATCCATTGTACAACATCTTCGGACGAGGGCTTGCTGAATAGGAGACTGGAGCTACACTTTCTGTCGGTTCCAAGCTAAAAATACCATTGCTTCTGTTGAAAATGTTATTACAACAAACATACAAAGACATCAGAAATATAAAAACTTATGTACAGGTATTTGCGATATACAAAGCAAGGGTCAGTCTTTCTACAGTCATAGTCTCTACAGTCATGTTAGTTAAGTCAAAATACGTTTAGTGCGATAGACATAAATACCGAAGAAGTTCTGTACAGAAAGTATAAGTTAGTTGTGGCAGGAGTCCTCTAGTAAACATTAGTACTACAATTTTGTGCTCTTCTAGTTACCTGTTTGTTTTATCGTCATGTTTAGTCTTTGTAAATCTAGTCTCTTGGTTGTGGCTATCGTGAGGAGTTGTCAATTTCATTTGTGCAACAATATTTGGATATCTTATTCTTCCTCTTGTCAATTTATCTTCTTGAGAATTTTCTGTAAGAATAGTCGGCTTAGCTAACCTATGCCTAACAGTATAGGGACGCAAAGTCGTTTGATTCAAATATTTGGGTGGTCTAACAGTGTTAGGGCCGTTCTGAGTAACTGGTCTTCTTATATGCATAACAGTTCGGTTGCGAGGCATATGGTGTATTATTTGGTAATTGGATATTTCAGGACGAAGCAAAGTATTTGGAGTTGGAGTTCCGTAGTCTACCAACACAGGAATGGGAATTTTTCCGTTAATGTTTTTAGTAAAATCTTTCAACGGAGCTTTTGTGACAATAGATACATCGTTGTGATTCTTAGTGGCACTTTCAGGTTTGTATTTCATTGGGACTCTTGTAGGCTTTGATTTAACATTTACGGGTACATCATCGTCTTCATAGCTATCTTCATATTCTTTATAATTTTGCGCCATAGGTGGTCTCTGTGGTTTCACTTCAGTACTCGGCATATATTTTGGTTTTACTGCAGGTTCATAGTAATATTGTTCCTCGTCGTCATCATAGTAATAGTCATTCATTTCTGGGGAAGGTTTTGGGATGGGTCTACGTTTTGGTGGAGCTTTTGTGGTGGTTGTGATGGGACTTTTGTTTGTGTAGGCAGCGCTTTGATGATTGCTATAATTTTTAACCGGCATCTGAGTGGATTTTATCGCTTGGGCAAATAAATTCTCAAGATTTTGAATATTTTTTGGCGTACTTGGTTTGAATGAAACGGAATGGAAAGGAATTGATTCAGTTGACGGGTTTTTCCAGTATTGTTGCAAAGCTGAGAGTTGCTCATGTGCTAACGTCGTCATGGGTTTAGGAGTGGACTGTTTTAATATTATATGGGCATTATGGGGCTTGATAGAAGATACTAAATACGGTTTAGCAGTTGCTACAACATGAGGGTGAAGTGATACTATCTTCTCGGGTTTTACAAGATACTGATGTTTTGGCGTTGACACCAATATAGGTGCACCTGTCCCAGCAATCAACAAGTAAGGTTTTGGAGTAACAGAATATAGGTTTTCGCCCTTGGTTTTTGTATCTTGATTAGGTTTAGATGTGCTGCTTATTGGTCTGCTGAAGCTGTAACTGATGGGTAACTGGCGATCATCATTAAAATTTGGTGGTTTCAATTTTGGTCTATTGGCTTCTAGCGGAGTACCGGCAGTCTGCTGTACATACGCATTTTGGCGAAAGGATTGTTGTTGTTTTTGTTGATTTTGGTTCGCCGGTTCTGGTCTCTGAATAACCTGATCGTAGGACTGAACATGTTTTATAGGAATTGCTGATGGTCTCATACTGCTTACTACTATCGAGCTAGATACAGTTGGAATAGTAAATGGTTTTGGACTACTCATCCCATCGTAATTGACTGGTGAATTTGGTCCTCTAGAACCCAATTGTGATATAGTTGTAACTTCGATAGTGGGCTTTTTAATTGTAGGAGGCCGCGGTTTAGTATTTGCATTTGGAGAATACTGCCCATTACTTATCTTTGTCAAATATGCATCAAAGTCAAAGTTAGGATTAGCGAACGGATTTTCTATTTCTTTATATTTGTAGTTAGGGTGTGTGAATTCACGGGGTGGCGAAGGAAAATCATCATCTTCGTCTTCTTCTTCTTCCGAAGACTCATTTTCATCTTCGTTAGAGTTTTCTTCATCATCATAATCTTTTTCATCTGAAGGTCTTTTATTGGCATTCGGTGGTAAAACCTTAACATTTCTTGTTGGCTGTTGATTGTTTTGAATCAATTGTTGGTTTTGTTGCTGATATTTATTTCGTTCTTGCTCTGAATTTCTGTAATGTTCTTGAGGTCTTGGTGATGTTGGCACTGGGACAGGTTTTCCCGTTACAATAGTACTGGGAACATGAGATGAATCGGGAAAGGATATCGGATTATTCTGATAGTTTGCAGAGGATGGTGTTGAATAAATCTGTGCTATATATTGAACATTACCTTGTGAAGGCTGCGCATTATTGTAAAAACCACCAGCTAAAGCTGTGTACGGATCATTGTTCAAAGAAGATATTGGTGGACTTTTTGTGATAATTTGTGTTGCAGAGTTAAGAGGATTATGAGGTTGACTAGATGGGTCTGGTAAACTAGGCTTAAATACTATTTGTGATTGAGAATTGCCGGACTGGTAAGATAAAAAAGGATTGACGGTAGAGTAAACATTATTATTGTATGTCTGTGGACGGCGTGTAATATCATAGTAGTTATTGTTGTTTAAATTATTATTGTATGATTGCTGATATCTAGCACTATGAACATTGGTACTATGGTGGGGTTGTGGGAATTCAACTATTTTAGCCGGCTTTACGAAAGCCCAATTCTTTCCAGGAGCCTTGTATCCGTCTTTGTAGTAATATCTAATTTGTCTCTTTCCTCGCTCAGTTTCATCTAGAGATGTACCATCGTCGATATCAGTGTCTATTTCAAAATACTCCATTTCTTCTCCACTATCACTTCTTTTAGACATTTGTTCTGGTTTAGTAGTACTAGAGCTAGTTTCATTAACGCTTAAGTCTTTTCCTACTACTTCCCTTTTCTTCCTGAGGACTGGTTTTTCAGTCAAGTCATTAGTAATAATCTCGTTCGTCTCAACGTCTAATTGTCTGTCATTAGAAGAGTCAGTCACGCTGTCACTTTTGTCTTCACTGCAAAAATGACAATGTCTATTAATATTATATTCTTGGTCAAAACCGTCTTAAATCATACTTATCTTGGGACTTACCTGTAAGACTGTGGCGCTGGAGTAACAGTAGCAGTTCGTCGCTCATCGACTTGAGAGCCGAATGAGAAGGAGCCTATTTTACCGCTATTTTGAGGAATAGATGCAGGAATGATGTTAGAGTTCAGATTTCTTCCAGTATTAATAGGCTGGGCTGCATAACCATCTCTGTCTTTTTGAACTTGTCCTATGGTTGGGGGCTGTCCTCTGTAAACTCGCTGTTGTCGGTCACTTTCAATTTCTTCGACTGGTGGTAGGTCATCTACTTCTGCGTAAAGTTGTTGCTGCTAAAACGAGAATATTAGTATTAGCATCCCATCCACTTAGAACTCATTCGCGTTCTTAATTTCTGAGTTTACCTTTTCATATTCTTGTCGGCTGAATTTAGGCTGTCCTCTTGATGTGATGACCGGATTCGGCTGGGCCCGCGGTGGTGGCGGCGGGGGTGTACGGCGGGGTGGCGGAGGGGCGCACTTTCAAGGCGGTGGTGGCGGAGGGGGAGGGGGCGGTGGGTTACGTTCGTTGATCCGTTCCAACTCTTCACCACCTACCGCGCTGGTGCCGTCACAGCCTACATTGCGCGGCCAATCACACGTTTGGAGCTCGTGGCTGAAACAGAAACGGTGGTAATTTTAATATTTTTATTCCTATGTTTTAGTTTAAAAAATCCGTTCATTGTAAAATCGTTATCGTCATAATTTTCCCTGCCAAAGACCTCAAAAGCATGCAACACAAAGATTTCAATATTGTTAACGGTTTATTCATTAACTTCATTAAAATGTACTTTTTATATGTGAATTTCTCACGCGTACCGATGTTTCCATATGACACGACAATGATCTCGACTTTTAATATGTTTATACAATACTACCTCTACTATACGAACGTGGCTACGTTTGATAGTATTTTCACATTACAAAAAACTGAATCATGCAAGATCTTTATGGAAAATCTGTCTATGATCTACAAATAATAAACAGCAAAGAACAACGTGATCTAAGCAAGATACGAGTTTTATAAATATGTATCTATTAGCTAGCACCAACAACTTCGCCTGTGCGGTAAAAAAAAAAAATTATGTATTTATTTAGAGGATCACCGACATAAATCCAGCAATATTGCACAATGAAAATATTTTTGACTTAAAAAGTACCTTAAGACTATCTGTATTTACAATCATAGGTAACCACAGCATGCATATAGCTTTTTAACTTACATTAATACAAAAAAATAATATAAATTCGGAAAAAATTAGTATAAAATAAAAATTAAAATTAAAAACATTTTGTCCAAAAAAAATTATAACTCAGTCAATATCTTAAGTAGTTACTATAGTATTCTACCGAAAAGATAATGATAATTTCTGTTGGTGAATATGAAAACAATCATCCTTCTTATAATACTAGAATAGAACATAAAATGTTGTTAACCACTCCTTACCTGTACATAAGGCCACCAGTACATGACTCGAGTAAAGCGCCGCCAAACACGCAGACATAGTACAATGTGCAGTCGGTGGGATGTGGGTAGTAGCCGAATTCTTCGGGACAGTCGAAGTCAACGTCCCGTTTAATATCAGCAGCTACGGGGACGCTACGGACCGGGCCGGATCGGGACCGCGACCGGTCGGATTGGGCGCCGAAGCATTCTGGAAAGAGAATTTGAAATTTAGTTTCGGAAATATTAACAAAATGCACCTCAAAGATACAAGGTCACCGCTTTTAAATAGACTATCCTAAAAGATATTTTTTTTTCCTTTTTTTGCCTTCAAGTCTTTATCTTTCAAGTCGACCGTGTCTAATTTAGTCATAGATACTTTTCACTGTAAAGAATTCACAGTCCACACAATTTCTATGGACACAAAACTCTGTTCATAATATAAAATAATTTTATATGAAGTTCGTTACGAAAGTTGAGCTCGCGTATAACAATCACTAATGTTAATACATTACCCCACACAAGCAACCCTACGCAATATTTCGAAAATAGAACATTAAAAAAATTTATTAAATTGGAGCCTATTCGAATAAACGATCGTATTTAAATTATCGATTGAAATAATATAACACACGATAAAACCACCACAGACTGCAAAGAATATATGAAACGGTACTTGCAACTAGTTGCATTATTACGAACTATGCAATGCTTGATACACTTTAAGATAACCGCATACGAATTTGGATAATGAACCGAAGCTTCATAGTCGTGTTTTAGTATTAAAACTATTATGTGATCAAAGTTTCTAAAGTGTCGATAAAAGTTGTGAAAATCTTTCATATCAGAAATACATAGTAGAGGTATTTTACATGTCAGGTAGGCACAATAGGATAACTAAAAATGTTGTATCTTGTCAACTATAACACTATTTAGAATCTAGTTTAACATAACTTAACATCACGCTTTTTATCTCCGAAGGGGTAGGCAGAGTTGCACATTATGCCACTGTACAATGTAACTTATGTAACACTCACTTTTGACTATTTATGTTATGAGTCTCAAGTAATAGGGGGTAAGTCTATTGCCATATACCAGGCACAATTCTAGACACCACGTTACTACTGAGGTTTTTTAAAAACCTAGTAATACTGTGCCCGACCCGGGAATCGAACCTGAGACCCTTGCCCGGCAATCGCACTTGCGACCACTCGGCCAACAAGGCAGTCTATCTAATCCAGTTTAGTTATCTTAAATGACATTAGGACATCGCGTAAGTCAGTAGCTCTAAGCAACGCTTAATACATAGGTAGGTAGGCTCTCATATACAATAAATATGACTATGAGAATGAATACTTTAAAGTACAAAATAGTCGGCTTTTTAGCTAATTCAATTGTGTAATACTAAATCATAGTAACAATGGAAATTGTGATTTTTATCCACATTCTTAAGGTGCATAATGGAGGAAAACATGATTGGTAATTAAGACGTTGTTGGTAACGTTTTATTACGGAACTTAATGTAATAATATTGTATAATCTTACATCGGTTTGCTGGTAATTAGTAAATGTACAGGCCATTGAACATTGTATTCATATGCGTACATTTTTGTTGCTTTACGAAGATTATAAAGTAGTCTCAGGTTAGAATCGGAAATGATAATTTGGAATTGGACTTTTCAAAACTTCATTTCTAAAGTTTGTTAGTTCAGACAAGCATATATGCATTTTTTTATTGGGACAACCCCGCCACAACCTCCCAAAACCGTTGCAACTCCTGTAAGCCAGGATCTACAGTAGATATAACCATGAAAACACCGGAACACTGAAATCCGGCGCGCCCCAGGGACATGAATAACTGTCTTGGTTCCCGCAACGAAGTGAATCAGATGATATTATAAGAGGAGAAGAAAAAAACGATCGTTTCCACTTCCCTCGGTGAATTACTACTGAGTGAATTAGCACTACGGAAATTTGACTAAAATCTAAGTGGTAAGCATATATGCATGTTATAAGTCTCAATAACCTATCATATGGTAGGTTTAATTACTAGACCTTAGCATGGAAACCATTTAAAATCAAAGCAATCTTAACTTATGTCCTTTTTTGTTAAATGAAAGGCATATAATTTTTAAATGATCAATCTCCCAGCTATTAAAAAACATTTTATTTCCACTCACAAGCTTTGCACTTTGAGTCCCATTGTAATAATGCAGCGTATCTCTGCCAAAATTTAATAGAATTTACCATATTTTTTTTAAATTCTCAGGGCCATGTTATCAGTATTGTGAAAAGACTCCGAGAGTTAACAACTGTTATCTTAATCGCGAACAATTTTGTCACGTTCTCATTGTATCACGAATTACGTGGGATTTGGGACAACGAGCGAATCTCGCGCATGCTTTGAAACATTAAAAGCTTATGAGCGCTGATTTTTTAATATTTTGTAAGTGTTGACTAATTTTAGTTGCATATCTGAAACAAGGATCGAATCCCAAAAATTTGAATACAGTTTTTCGAGTTCAGATCAAAATGTAAGTAACAAAAATTGTTTTATAATGTTATTTCTTTATTTATTAATTTCTCTTTTTCGAAGATATTAGTGACAGTGACACCTATACAAGGCAGTTTTGAAACCGTGGCACCGGGGGTTTGTCACAGAAGTCATATAGGTTCAATGTAAGAGAAAGTTTTGGGCCAATAGTTAAAAATACGGCTATAATAAATCGTTTCAGTTCGACAGTATTTCAGGATAAGCAACAGCAATGTTTCTTATTAGAGTTTTATGCAATTAGGAAAAATATCAATAAAACTAGTTACAAGACAGCGGCGTGTAGTTCGCACTTACGGATTTCCGTAATTTACAGAAAAATGAAAAATATTTACCTACAATTTTTTTTAATCATTCGGACTCAGAATCGATATCTGAGTTACCCCCTAGAAAATGACGCGGCTTTAAAACAACACCTTGTATATAAAAAATTAATACAGGTTCTATTTACATTATATTCCAGTTAGTTCAGTATATAAACTTAATTAGGTGCTAGGATTTTATCTGTGCAAATAATCCTTGAATCTCTGCATATTCATACAAAATTATCTTGATTCTGATAATTGTACGTACATTCCTACTACCTACTAATTATACAGGCAATTTGCTTATTAAAATGGTGCCTACTAAAAGATCATAGTTCTAGTAGGTATAACGTAGGTACTTATTAATCTGATAACTGACATAAGTCGGTTATAAAATAATAGATTCCTTGATTAAATCTAACTTTCAATCAATCAATAAATTATGAGTCATAACACCTTAAAAACAAAATCCAAATCAGCATACAATGACAGAACTGGTAGAAATAACAAAACAATATAATAATTATCCTCCAGAGGTAATAAGCCAGCCTCATCTAGATAAACCACCATCATACATTCGTTTTGCAAGACAACCTTGCTTTTAAGACAACTACATACAATTTGCAGTGAACAATAGTAATAGCAATATCGAACAAATGCTTGAGTTTCCCACAAGTAGCTAATATATAAGACCAAAGAAAAATGTTCTTTATTGCATGGTTATAAGAGCTACGTTTATCATCAGTTATTATGTCAGTGTCGACACACGACCGTCAAGATTCGGGCCGTGATCGGAGCACGCGCTCTAACGTATCCTAAGGCTTAGTTCTTACATACGTATCATTTTGATCCTTATCAGTATCACAAATAGGTTTAATATCGATGACTGTTTATTTGGACTATCGAGCTAAGTAATGGTTCTTATAAACGGTTTTTATAACGATTGATCCTTAATTACTTTTAATTCAAATTCCTTATTTGAGTTTAATAACCTTCTCTGTAGTAACAAGATCATTTAAGACATTTTTGTCGAATTATTTCCTACACTGAGCATGCCAAGCAAAAACATTGTTACCGAATTGCACACAAAAAATTAAAGAAACAACTTCTAATGCCATTTACAATTTAGATTAAACAATCCAACGAACAATTATGTTCGTAAAGAATTCTATGACATTAATTACATTGAACGGTTGCGTTCAAACGACGGATGTAAAGCAGACACACGCCCATCCTAATGGTTAGCTAAACCATGACAAAACCGTGGGCAAAAAGCAACCAAGTATAGAATTAGCGAACAACGAAATCGACCCAGTTGCTGCAACGACCGGCTCTGCACACGCTTCAACTTATTAATCAATCAGTAGATCCCGGATCGTGGCTCCGGGTGTTGCAAAATGTAATAAATCCATAATTATGAGTCGTGGACGAACCATAGAAGCATGAGATCCATAATAATGTCTCGTTGTGTGGGAAATAGCCGGCAATAGGCGATTAATCTGCACATTGCAATATTACGTGTTGAAATATTCTCCAAGCATTGTGTACTCTCAATGCTCTAAATAAACTCGAATCCGACGTTTCAAGATCGTTTGCTCCGACATTCTCGTGCGTTTCTTCCTATCCTACTACGATTGCGTTTCCATGTTTGTGAAATCAAAAAGAAACTCGATGACTATTAGCCGATAACTACAGGATAGGTGTGGGCGGTATAACGTCGAATATCGCCAAGTGTTACTAACAATTTGCATTCTGCAGCCATGTTGAATGCATTTACGTACACCCACTATGATTACGAATTCCCAGCCACAGGTTTAAATTGCACTTGAAACAAAACAAAAATCGGTATCTCTTTAATTAGCAAATAAGCCAAAACACATAAATTGTGCGACACCTACATACAAACAGCCAGTTTCAAAGCGTATATTTTTCAATGCCTGCTAGCTTCTAAGAAATAAATTGCCAAAGTATTGTCAAACAATAGAAAGAATGATCTGCGCAGGAAACTCTCAAGTACAAATGAAATATGTTTTCACAAACAATGCTTGAATTATGTGCGGCTCGGCGAAGTCATGCATCAAGTAAAATGAATGTGTGATCACGATCCGATCCGTGTTAACTGGTTGTATAAGATTTTCGCAGCGGGCAACAGTGTTGGAGCGGTGGGCCTACAGGCCTAGAGGGACATGGCGGCAGGATATGTATGGCGCCTCGTGGGAGGTAAATGGTCCAGGATCGTCAATAGGTGGGTGAACCGACTCCTAGGATGAGTAGGCGAGCACGGACAGACGTGATTGTATTGAATGATTTATGATATCTTTAATCTGGTAATGCTAATGTAGCTAATGCAAATAA